AATGAAAAAGAACAGAATTCTTTACAAGAAAATAGTAAGTGAAATAATTTTTATTTATTTAGACAATGCAAAAACAAAACAATCCATGAAAAATATGTTATGATTTTTACTATATATTATCCACTTCAAACATATTTTGATTAAATTTTATCAAATCCTGCAACAAAATCTTCTGGCGACAATTAATACTTTTAGAAACACCATAAGATTTTGAATGATAAAAACTGTGTACATTCGAAATAAACATATTCATTGCCGAACATTGCCTTTTTAATACGCTTAGTATATTTCTAAGTATAAAAACTATAATATTATACATTTTTAGAAACCAATAAAGTTGCACAAAAGAAAACAGGTCCTACAAAATGTATTGAAAAAGAACCGGATTCTTTACAAGGAAATAGTAAGTGAAATAATTGTGTTTCATTAAGACAATACAATAACAATTCCTGAAAAAAACACATGTTATGATTTTTACTACAATTATTTGATTTAAACATATTTTGATTCAATTAAACAAATAAGCAATGATGTCAAATTTTGCAACGAAACCTTCTGATCAAGAAACACCATAAGTTTTTGAATGATTAAAACTGTGTATATTCGAAATGAACATATTCATTACCGAACAAAGAATCAAAGATCATTATAGTATCATGTAGTTGTGCTAATTATTAGTCAAAAATTTCAATTTCGAGTATCAATACTAAGTGACGCCCATTTTAAAAGTTTATGCCGTTGTCTCATTTTAATCCTTCTCAGTATAAAAACTATTATACATTTTCAGAAACCAATAAGGTTGCACAAAAGAAAACAGCTCCTATAGAACGTTATGAAAAAGAACATAATTCTTTACAAGAAAATAGTAAGTGAGATAATTTTGATTCATTTAGACAATACAAAAACAAATCAATCTCTTTTTGCTTTCTATTTTATGATTTTTACTATATACATGTACTCGAATTATCTACTTCAAAAATATTTTGATTGACTTTAATCAAATCCTGCAACGAAACCTTCTGGCGACATTTAATACTTTTAGAAACACCATAAGTTTTTGAATGATTAAAACTTTATACGTTCGAAATGAATAAAGTCATTGCCAAACAAATATCATTGTAGTATCAAGTAGTCGTGCTTATAATTAGTCACACAAAATTTATTTTCGAATATCAATACTAAGTGACGTCCATTTTACAAGTTTAGGTCTTTGTCTCATTTTAAAACGTTAAGTATCTTTCTTAGTATAAAAAAATTTACATTTTCAGAAACCAATAAGGTTGCACAAAAGAATACAGGTCCTTCAAAATGTAATGAAAAAGAACCGGATTCTTTACAGGAAAATAGTGAGTGAAATAATTTTCATTCATTTAGACAATACAAAAACAATTCCTGGAAAAGAAACATGTTATGATTTTTACTACAATTATCTTCTTAAAACATAATTTTGATTCTTTTAAACAAATAAGCAATGATGTCAAATTTTGCAACAAAAACTTCTGACGACAATTAAAACTTTTAGAAACACCATAAGATTTTGAATGGTTAAAACTGTGTATATTCGAAATGAATATATTCATTGCCGAAAAAATTTCATGTCATATCATATAGTTGTACTAATTATTAGCCACACAATTCAATTTTCGAATATCAATACTAAGTTACGTCCATTTTAAAAGTTAAGGCAAATGCCACATTTTAAAACGTTAAGTATCTTTCTTAGTATAAAAATCTATTATATAGTTTCAGAAACCAATAAGTTTGCACAAAAGAAAACAGGTCGTCCTTTAAAGTGTAATGAAAAAGAACCGGATTCTTTACAAGAAAGTAGTAAGTGAAATTTTAGTTCATTTAGACAATACAGAAAACAAAACAATCCCTGAAAAAAAAATTAATGTTGTGATTTTTGGCTCGACTATTCGCAGAATAATCGAGCTAATGCAGTCACCCATTTGTCGGCGTCGGCGTCCCCGTGGTTAAGTTTTTGTGTGCAAGCTGGTATCTCAATAACTACTGAAGGGAATGGATTGAAACTTCACACACTTGTTCTCTGTAATTATCTCACATGATTGGCACAAGTCCCATAACTCTGATTTGCTTTTTTGTATAATTATGCCCCCTTTTCGACTAAGAAGTTCTTGGTTAAGTTTTTGCGTGCAAGCTGGTATCTCCATAACTACTGAAGGGAATTGATTGAAACTTCACACATTTGTTGTCTGTGATTATCTAACATGATTTGCACAAGTCCCATAACTCTGATTTTGTTTTTTTTTTGCATAATTATGCCCCTTTTTCGACTTAGAAATTCTTGGTTAAGTTTTTGCATGCAAGCTGGTATCTCCATAACTACTGAAGGGAATTAATTGAAACTTCAGACATTTGTTCTCTGTGATTATCTAACATATTTTGTACAAGTCTCATAACTCTGATTTTGTTTTTTTTTGCATAATTATGCCCCTTTTTCGACTTAGAAATTATTGGTTTAGTTTTTGCGTGCAAGCTGGTATCTCCATAACTACTTAAGGGAATGAATTGAAACCCACACACTTGTTCTCTGTGATTATCTAACATGATTGGCACAAGTCTAATAACTCTGATTTTCTTTTTTGCATAATAATGCCCCTTTTTCGACTAAGAAGTTCTTGGTTAAGTTTTTTTGTGTAAGCTGGTATCTCCATAACTACTGAAGGGAATGGATTGAAACTTCACACACTTGTTTTCTGTGATTATCTAACATGATTGGAATAAGTCCCATAACTCTAATTGCTTTTTGCATAATTATGCCCCTTTTTCTACTTAGAAATTCTTGGTTAAGTTTTTACGTGCAAGCTGGTATCCTCATAACTACTGAAGGGAATGGCTTGAAACTTCACACACTTGTTCTCTGTGATTATCTAACATGATTGGCACAAGTCCCATTGTTCTAATTTTTGCTTTTTTGTATAATTATGCCCCTTTTTCGACTTATAAATTCTTGGTTAAGTTTTTGCATGTAAGCAAATATCTCCATATCTACTGAAGGGTTTGTGCCTTTTTTGGAACAATTCTATGCATTGATAATAATAAAGCAGTGATTAACTCAATAAAACATCTTAATAACAAGCCTTTGTACCTTTCCGGACAATTTTATGTATTCATATAGGTAAGCATTATTATATTCAATGAATTACACTTTTGACAACTTTTCGAATAGTCCTCCGACATTTCTTGTTATTATAATTATTTACTTTAAAAATATTTTTGATTGAATTTTGTCAAATTTTGTAACGAAACCTTTTGGCGACAATTAAATCTTTTAGAAACACCATAAGATTTTGAATGATTAAAACTGTGTATATTCGAAATGAATATATTCATTGTCGAACAAATATCATGAAGTATCATGTAATTGTGCTAATTATTAGCCTCACAATTCAATATTAGAACATCAATACTAAATTACGTCCATTTTAAAAGTTTAGACCCTTGCATTTTTTAAAACACTTAGTATATTTCTAAGTATAAAAACTATTATACATTTTCAGAAACCAATAAGGTTGCACAAAAGAAAACAGGTCCTACAAAATGTAATGAAAAAGAACCGGATTCTTTACAAGAAAATAGTAAGTGAAATAATTTTGATTTATTTAGACAATACAAAAACAATTCCTGAGAAAAACACATGTTACGATTTTTACTACAATTATCTGCTTAAATATATCTTGATTCAATAAAACAAATTAGCAATGATGTCAAATTTTGCAACGAAACCTTCGGGTGACAATTAAAACTTTAAGAAACCTCATAACATTTTGAATGATTAAATCTGTGTTTATTCCAAATGAACATTTTCATTGCCGAACAAATACAATGTGGTACCATGTAGTTGTACTAATTATTAGCCTCACAATTCAATATTCGAATATCAATACTAAATTACGTCCATTTTAAAAGTTTAGACCATTGCCACATTTTTGTACCTTTCGTAATTTTCTTAGTATAAAAACTATTATACATTTTAAGAAACCAATAATGTTGCACAAAAAAAAGCATGTCCTACAAAATGTAATGAAAATGAACCGGATTCTATACAAGAAAATAGTAAGTGAAATATCTTTATTTCATTAAGACAGTACAATAACAAAATATCCTTGAAAAAAATTGTTATTACTTTTACTATAATTATCTACTTCAAACATATTTTTGATTGAACTTTGTCAAATTCTGTAACGAAACCTTCTGGCGAAAATTAATACTTTTAGAAACACCATAAGATTTTGTATGATTAAAACTGTGTATATTCGAAATGAACATATGCATTGCCGAACAATTATCATGGAGTATCATGTAATTGTGCTAATTATTAGTCACACAATTCAATTTTCGAATATCAATACTAAGTTACGTCCATTTTAAAAGTTTAGGTCATTATATTTTTTTAAACGTTTTGTATCTTTCTAAGTATAAAAACTATTATACATTTTCAGAAACCAATATGGTTGCACAAAAGAAAATAGGTCCTACAGAGTGTAATGAAAAGAAACCAGATTCTTTACAAGAAAATAGTAAGTGAAATAATTTTGATTCATTTAGACAATACAAAAATAAAACAATCCCTGAAAAAAATAGGATTTTTACTATAATTATCTATTTCAAACCTATTTTTGATTGAATTTTGTCAAATCCTAAAACGAAACCTTCTGGCGACAATTCATACTTTTAGAAACACCATAAGTTTGTTTTTGAATGATTAAAACGTTGTATATTCGAAATGAACATATTCATTGCCGAACAAATATCATGTAGTATCATGCAGTTGTACTTATTATTCATCACACAATTCAGTTTTCGAATATCAATACTAAGTTACGTCAATATTAAAAGTTTAGTCCATTGCCTCTTTTTAAAACGTTTAGTATCTTTCTTAGTATAAAAAATATTATGCATTTCAGACACCAATAAAGTTGCACAAAAGAAAACAAGTCCTACAAAATGTAATGATAAAGAACCAGATTCTTTACAAGAAAATAGTAAGTGAACAAATGTTGATTCATTTAGACAATACAAGAACAATTCCTGAAAAAATACATGTTACAATTTTTACTACAATTATCTGCTTAAATCATTTTTTGATTCCATTAAACAAATAAGCAATGATGTCAATTCTACAACGAAAATTTTTGGCGAGAATTCAAACATGTTGCATTTATACCTTTTGACATGATTTTCTTACAAATTATTGAATAAGAGATTTACTCAATCATAACGTTTAGTACAAAATTAATCCACAGTTCTGGTAAAAGTTATCAATGTGAATATAATCCAATGTTATATATAAAACTGGGGAAAATAGAATCTGTAAAGAAGAACGTCCAAAATTTAATTCAATGAATGCTCATTATTTGCCGTCCCATTTGATTTTCGAATATCAATATTAAGTTTCGTCAATTAAAATGGTTTATGCCATTGTCTTCTTCTGAAAACCTTTCGTAGCTTTCTTAATATAAACACAAATATACTTTTCAGAAACTATTCCTGTTGCATGCGAGGAAACTGGCTCTACAGAATGTGATGACAGAGAACCGGATTCTGTACAAGAAAATAGTAAGTGAAATAATTTTGATTCCTTTAGACAATACAAACATGCGTGCTGAAAATATGTTTTTTTTTATTCTCATATATTCTACTTCAAGCATATTTCTTTTTGTTTTTTATTATACAAACAAGCAATTTTGTCAAATTCTGATAAGAACCTTTTTGGCGACAATTTAACCATTTACAAGCACCTGAATAATTTGAAAATTTGAAACTGTAGATATTCGGACTTAACATATTTGTTGCCAAACGAACAGAATGTAGTTGTTTGAAACATACTTTCAGTGGCATGCCAATCCAAGGGTTTAATGTGAGTTATTAAGTAAAAGACAAAACATTTCCAAATTTGCCATAATTCCTTTCAATATTATTATTTACTTCACATAAAAAATAAATAAATAACTCATGATATCAAAAGAAAAATCTGTAAAGAAAGCGTTTGAATTTACTGAAAAAAAGAGTGGGATATTTTGCTTTTTGTTTAGGCAGATTTATTTGCTATCTAAAACATTTTAGTACAATATCATTTGTTGATCACTCACTAATTTTTCGTTTACATTTTACGATCTGTTGATTGATAATGGAATGATATAATCAGAAGCCAATAATTTTAACATTTTGTTCTGCAGGACAAACAAAATGCTTTAAGAAACGCTCATCTGGTATTAGCTTATTGTACTTAAAATTAATTCATATATACAAGTAATAATGTTGTCTCTTTTTCTCGCAAAGATGAAACCTTATAACACCACAAACAATTCACACGCAGATCCTATATTACGCACAAGTATAATAATCAACACAAATAAACATTGATCCATAATACCGTTTTACAATTGTAAATTTTCTATAAAGCCTCTTTGTTTGGACACTTTCTTGTTTAAAACTACACTTACATTTATTAAGCTAATTATGTTTTCATATGGACAAAATATTGGATGATTAAAAACTAAATTAAGCACTCTCTATAATTATCTTAATGTATTTTTTATTTAAACGTACACTTCGATAAATCACTAGTTACTTTACTTTTAACACTTTTTTCAGGAGCATGTTAGACGAGAAGGTAGCGCTAAATGTAAAATTATATGTTTTTTGACATTACTTGATTTTCCAACAAACTATTGAATAAGAGACTTTATCTTTCATAAAGTTTAATACACAATAACTCCAAATTTCCTGTAATGTTTCCGAAATAAATTTAGGCTAAAATATTATATACAAGAGAGAGAATAAGAATGTATAGAGAACATCAAAATGCTTCTAGTGAATAATAAAAAAGATTTTTCATTCGATTTCCGAATATCACTACCACGTTACGTTAGTTATAATAGTTTAGGCATTTGCCTCTTTCAAAACCGTTTTGTAACTTTCTTAGAATTACAACTATAAAAATACATTTTCAGAAGCCATTGAAGTCCTGTGTGAGGAAACAGGCCCTACCGAATGTGTAAAAAAGGAACAGGTTTCGTCACAAGACAATGGTAATCGAAATAATTTTGATTCATTTAGACAGTACAAACACGCGTGAAGATGTTTCGATTATCCTAATAATCATCTCCTTCAAACATATTTCTTGTTTAAATTATACAAACAAGTTATTTTGTCGAATTCTGCAACGAAACTTTCTCGCGACATTATGCAGCTGTGTACATTTTTAAAAAATAGGTCAGATCATGGTCTCATTATTTGTTACTTCGTAATTTTATTGAAATCGTTATTACTGAGGATGATGATGATTACTGAATAATCTGAAATCTATAATGGGTAGATGTCACAGTAGAAAAATCATTGGTGAACCTATAATTATGAAAAAAAATTATGTTTAAAGGAGTTGAAGTCAATCGTAGAACTAAAATTATATCTTGTTTACTATTATAAAATAAGTATATGTTAACAAATGTATTGTTTATTGTGGTGTCAATAACTGGATTGCCCATGAATGCCCGAAGGCTTATTTCAAATGGGGTCCTTTGGCATACTTTTACCAAAACATACACTTACAATTAAAGAAGAATACAAACATTATGAAATTCCTTAATGAAAAAATAATGTTGTATCCATGATCGCATGACTGACTCTCAAAATGTTGAAAATTCGAAAGTTAAGTTACTAAACACACATTAGTTTAAAACAACATTGTTCTGAACAAAATATGCTCCTGTTTTAAGTAGGCTTTTAAAATTTCCATGCGTTATGCTCAAGCATGTTTCTTTAATACATGTATTTAGGCAATACATTCATATTTTACGTACGGATTAAAAAAGCAAATGTAAATTGTTTAATGTAAATTTGACACATAAGATACAGCATCTGATATGAGTGTTGCTAAATCAACAGCAATACAAAATACTGGATTATTGAAAAACACCAATGAGGATATGCTTCAAATATTTTTTGAAATCGAAGAAATAAATTGTTGCAGAAAACTAAACAATACTTTTATTGGTGAAAGGAAATGTACTCTTGTTGAAATCGTTTTAACCATTCAATCGTTTTAATCCCCTACCAGTTAAACCGTAGCAAACTCAGGTTTACCTTCCGTCTGTCCATCCACCAAACAGTATGTCCGTGCAGGAGACCGGGAAAAAGGTGCTGAAAATATTTTTAAGAAACTTGAAATATGTAAAGATGGCAGTCTGGGGATTATGCATGTCTATTTTTCTACCTATGTTGAAATCATTGGTTGCTATGGCAACTAAGAGACTTACAATATGCCAAATATACACAGAAACTGGATTCCTTGATAACACAAAATGTACTGACAGGAAGAAAATAAAAAGGTGCATAATCTCCAGACTGCATCTACCCATATATTGAGTTTCATTTAAATATAATGTCGATCCACCTAAGCGGTTGTCCTAAATAACGAACAAATATTTACATATTTCTCCGCAATTTAGTGACTACTAATCTCACATTCACATGATTTTTGAATCAACGATGAAAGTCAAATGACTACTAAACTTAATGTACGCGATTAATTGTCTCGGAATAAATGCGCCTCTACCGAGGTTCAGCAAGCAACCACTGGATTACATATTGGCCGAACATTATTCATAGGTTCTTGACTTTGTAAAAAGATAAGTAGGAGGCAAATATGTATTTTTAATTTCTATAAAACATGACGGGGAACACCAACCTAAGACAAAAACATTTACATGAGCATAACTCCTATATCGTAGTTAAATGAATTGTAATTCTATGACATGATAGAAATGTTTTAATCCTTAACGCAGCAAGTGTAATTTTAATAACTTTGTATCAAAATGATTATATATGATTTTGAATATATTATAGACGAAATAACAGGAATGTTTTGGATTATTTACCTTTTAACATCATTGCTTTTGTGAATACACTGTAATAAGTTCTTGAAATATTCGAATTAGAATGGCTTGAGCATGGCGGCGATTGGTTCTGTAATTTTTTTAATTTTTAATACAAACACCTTTAAAAAATAACACACCTTGACAGATATGTCGCGTCTAAGACCAATGTCCCTTCCTCAAAGATCAAGGTCACACAGATTGAAAGTTCACATTCTCGCAATTAGTTTTGTAAAGGTACACACATTCGTGTCTGAATTGTAACTTTGTCATGCATGGAAGTATTTTTAATTACTTGGCAAGAATGTCTATAACGTCAAAACTACGTGTCGTGTGTAAGGCCCGTGTCATGTCCCTACATCCAAGGTCAAGGTAGTCAGTTTATTATGACGAGCACGTCACTTAACAAGAACAATATAAGGCAATTAATAACTTTTTTCTCTTTTCCTATTCATAAAACCTTTCAGCAATACCTACAAAACCCGGGAGCAATCGTCACTTTTCAATGACAGCTTTTGCTTTTTTTTCTTGCTTATTCATTCATTCTTTTATTTATTTATTGAAGTAAGTAACGTGACATTTTTGTTACAACTCATACAATTTTACCGTTCATTTTATAACTTCTGAAGCTGGACAACGCATTTTTTTCGATTTACATCATAGGGAGTGACACACTGACTGAAGATCCAAACATGATTATACTTACCAAACTATCGGTAGATATTAATAGGTCTATGTTGAAAAGATTCTTTGAAAATGCAATAGAGTATGGAGGAAAAGTTGTGAAGGTGACTGTTAACACCAGAGAGCGTTCTGCCATTGTCACATTTGATACGTCTGCAGGTATGATATTGTATAAATTTATTTTATTGTGCAATCAGTTTAAAAAAAACTTTCTTGTTACTTTATTGAAATATTCTTTCATTGACCTAAAATATTTTAAGAAAAAAAATCGACATCTTGAACATCTTAAAATCTATAGGTTTTATATGTGTTCCCTTTTGTGTTCTTGTTGTTGTTCTTTTTATATGCCCGAAAGAATTTCGGACATATTATGTTATACCCCCTGGCGTCCGTCCGTCTGTCCGTCCGCACTCACAGGAGAGTAATTATGTGGCTAGAGGGACAATAGGTAACTGTTCTTTCTCTTTGATGTCATTCATTCCGTAATGCTTTTATGTGGCTATTTTCTTTTGTGTGGCTAAAAAGAACAATAGAGAGAACAATAGAGTAGCCACATAATTACTCTCCTGTTAGAACGTCCGTCCGTCCGTAGCAATTTGGTTTCCGGAGCATAACTTAAGTTCCATTTGGCCCACAATGTTCAAACTTCATAGGATGATTGTCCATATTGGGTAGAAGACCCCTATTGATTTTGGAGTCAGAAGGTCAAAGGTCAAGGTCACTATGACCTTTAATATGAAAACAGTTTCCGTAGCATAACTTACTCCATTTGGCCTACAGCGTTCAAACTTCATAAGATGATTGTCCATATTGGGTAGAAGATCTCTTTTGAATTTGGGGTCACAAGGTCAAAGGTCAAGGTCACTATTACCTCAGAATTGAAAACAGTTTCCGAGGCATAAGTTAAGTTCCATTTGGACCACAATATTGAAACTTCAAAGGAGGATTGTTATTTGAAGGAGGTAATACTTTATTTAATTCCCATGTCTTACTAAAA